AGAGAGAGAGAGAGAGAGAGAGAGAGTGAGACAGTCAAGCAGAGAGATAAAGACAGAGTCAGATAACTCCCTCACGGTTCCCTTCAGGACGCGACAACGACGACGGGCCTGACCTGCCTGTGGGGACACACAGACAAGACGTACATTGCTAAATGCAACTGTTCGTTCACCCACAGCCAAGTTGTGAAATCAGCGTTACGAAGATACCGTGACTGACCGTGTGGGGTAAGCGCGGTGGGGGGGGGGGGCAATCTGTTGCATTACAAAGCATGATTCGGTCCCGTGTGGATCATGAATGGCATTTCTAAAGATAGGAAGGAGAAGACACCGTCGCCTTCTTCAGAGTAATAAACGGTATCCTATTTTACATGAACCGACCGACGCCCCTCAGGCTGATAAAAACAAACCGCAAACCGCACGCCCACACATACGCGCCGGCGTGAAGAAAGTTTCATCATCATGCCATACTACCTACGTTACGTAATGCTCACCGGGTATTGGCAGAGACGAGGCGGGGTGGGGTGGCGTGGGGCTGGACAGGTTTTGCGGTTTTGTAACCGCGTGGATTGTTCAGAGCATGTTGCACCACCAAAGTTCAAGGGTAAGCGGTTCGGGGTTCGACCCTGATGCGACTGGCGAATGCTGTAGCCTGTAATTATTATTACCAGGACTCTACCTGGTTTGCTTGTTTTTCGCGCTCTATCCAACTTGAACTTGTGATTTATTTTTTTTTCGCGAGTTTGAAAGATGTTCACGAACTCGAGTCATTCGCGAAACGTTAAAAAAAAGGGGGCGTAGAAAGAACCAAGATTGCACTGGAACACAAAATGACTCAAATCGAGATTTCATAACGTTCGCTCTGAAGCAAATTGAGTGAAACGCGAAAAAAAAAGTTTGTGAAAAAATCAGGTGTAAAGAGCGCGTTTCTTTTTATCGGGGTTGATCGCTAGATAAATGCCATATCATTAATGTCCTTATATGTATATAGCCTCTCATCTTGTCCCCTGCTGCCTGTGAGTAAGGAAACAAATTCTTGCTTTTCTTCTTCTTGTTGAGCACTGGATGAACTTGGAATTATTGTCTTTATTTACAAGTACACGTTTCTGGTGGAGCATCGGGCGGAGATGGTTTTGGCTCACACAATGTATTGAAACGGTTGAGAAAGAAGAGTATGTTTTTCCAGTCTAGATATAACAAACTAAAGTTTACAACTTTTTAATCATAAACCATTCGATTGGAGAACGAGCTTTGAATAGATAATAATTATAGGTTTACATAAGAAATAAGAAATCACCTTCAAAATCGACAACAATACTGTACGTTGAAATGTCCAAAACATTCATCGCTGCAACTACAGAAAGTTATAATGAATCTGACCCTATGTTAGAACTTAGAAATCCTAGACTTGACCCTACCAGCGGAAACTCCGGGCCAGTTTACACTACGGTCCTGAAGTCTGGCTGGCTGCTCGCTAACTAAACACAAATTGCTGAGGTTTTCTTTCGGGCACCTCGTTCGGCAAACACTTCCGGTGACCCGCTTTTAAAAATATCGTTCATTCATAAATCCTCAAATGCAATTGGTGACTATTTTTAGCTCATGTCGTCATAACTAGAACTCCGGGCTCCTCCTAGGCCTATCACCCTCCGTTCATTCAGGTGGACCGATCCGTGACCCACCTTCACAGTTCACGAAGAATGCATTCGTTCACAGAGCAGTATAGTCTTGCCCGCACTGGTTTTGGAAAGATCGAGAGACCAAGCCAGAGTGAAAAGAAGCTATCTACAGTTAAAAATTGTTGAAAGTACAACAGTTTCACTCTAACTTTATCACACGAGACGTTGGCATGCACACTTAAATGAATGTTGGCAGCGTTTGTATGGAAGTAAGAGTAAACGGCTGGGGGATTTTGGGCTTATTTCTCTCGGGGTTTTCTGTTTGTTTTGTTGTTGTTGTTGCTGTTGTTGTTGCTGTTGCTGTTGTTGTTGGTGTTTTTGTTGCTGTTGGTGTTTTTGTTGCTGTTGCTGTTTTTGTTGTTGTTGCTGTTGTTGTTGCTGTTGCTATTTTTTGTT